TACTCATATTTTTTTGTTGTTTATTTATCAAATTTCTTATTTATATAATTCGCTTCAAATGAAAGGAATTTGTAACTTACATAAATGTAGTTAAAATATCTAGTGCCAGGAGCATGCCCTATATTTAATTTCAAATAAAAAAACGAAATAATTAGAGATAAAATGGGGAAATAAATGGTATATTAATATTTTAATCTGCAAGATTTCAGCAACTATTTTTAAAATTAATTTCAAAAGATACTGATAGATATCATTGCATATTACGCAGAATTCCACAGAATGCTTTTGCAATGATACAGCACCATACGCTACAGTCCCCATTAATAGTGCTCAGAACCATTGATCGAGAACACTCAAAACTAATTTCTAATACAACTTTATAAAATCTATGAACATTCACTCTCAATATACCGTTATATCATCTTTATATTCTTAAATGTTTAATTTGAACACATGGTACTCTTTTACTTGAAAGTCTGTATATAAATTAATGCTTCAGCATTGAATATACATAGCGTGACAAAGTATAAAATCGATAGGTGTAACAGCATCGGAAATGGAGTAATATTATCAATACCACAAGTAATGGACATAATGAAAGGTTAAATAAGCACACTCCAGAATGTTCTTAGCTTATTAATAACTACCTGTGAGCATTTTACCCCAATGCCCACCTGGGTGGATATTCGTGAATTCAGGGGTATTAGGGCAGATTTGTTTGCCTCTCTTGCAGGGGCACCATATTAGGTGGGCCAACGTAGCTCCCTCAGTGAGGACAGATAGTACAGAGAATGGAGGAACATCCATGCCTTGTCCGGGATTCGAACCTAGAACTTTTCTGATGCAAAGCCAGTTCTCTGAACCCTATTCAGTTGAATCGGAAAGCATATACATAGTCTGTGAACATATACAGCGAAAAAAATGTAATTCTAGGAAAAGTGAGAATAGAGCAGAACAAGAAAAAGCAAAACAGCGTGATTTTTTTGGGAGAAAGGGAATGTGCTGTTTCTTTACTCGAAGTGCTGCTCAATCGTCAGGACTATTAACTTTGAGATTATCATCCAATTATTTTATTGATAATAGTGAAGGACTCATAGAAAAGTATGCTGTTTGCCATGTCCGATATCGATGCGCAATTCTCGCAATTCTTCTTACGTCATTTGTTCATTGTCATTTGTCCAAGACAGTTATGTGAAAACAGCAATTTTTTGACGATATGTGTCTACATTATGCTCTCTTCCTCTCATCAAAAATCCTACTAAGCACGTTTTCGATTATGCATGTTGGCAACCCTTATAATGAAATACCAATTTAAAATAAAATACTGTATCAGATGATTTCCGCAATGATTAATCAGATTTAGAATGACACAAAGAATTTATAATTACAAGACATGATGAGCTTTAAAGATGACATTCTTTATTGCTTGTTGTTGCCAATTCTTCATGATTTTGTGTCAGGTAAATGTGGTCAACGAGTCTATTGGCAAAATTAAGCAACAAAACCGCATCTGAATTGCTTACTATTGATGATTTAATTATGGAATAATTTTTAAAGCTTAGATTGCTTATTAATTGTACACATTAGAGGTACAATCAATCTGATATATCAAAAGCAATCTTAATTCGATAGGGATACATTGTGTCCTTTTAGGATCACAAAAAAGTCAGAATATCCTAGGACGATATGAATCATATAATCACAGTTCCTATTCCCAGGCAACCAAAATATTTATCGTATGTTTCTTCTCTCGTAAATAATAAAAAATAAATATCTCGTAGAATTAATAAAATTCTATATTTTGTTAGATTCTCTCTTTATTCTCTTAACCTAAGTTTAATATTATAACTTTAGAGGCTCCCATAAAATCCTACAGGGTCACATGATAAGGATTTCCTCTCAAAGAATATTGATGAGTTTGTTAATAAAATGTCTAAACTTATTTACATTTTTCATAATAATGGTATTTAATTTGATTCGGCTAATTTTATTGTGCTTTCAATTTTCAAAAATCCAGAAAATAATTTTCAAATTACAAAAGGTTTTAAAATGCATACTTTCCACGCAATCCTTACAAAAACTGAAAAATTTTAATTAATATTCGAATCTGATTGTTTAAGCAACTAGATCATTTATTATATTTTAAATGTGGTTTTGATCAAACAAAACATGCTTTCAAATTTAATCAAAAGGTGTATCAAAATTATGTCAGAAAATAACTTCAAAGCAAAGTCATCTCTCGCTGAACACTACTGGTCTCAAGGCTTGACTTTTCATATCTTAAATATTATTCATAATTGTATCACTTGTATTGATCTGAATTTCCTGATACTTTACACATCGTTCTGAAAAATATTTAAGATTCAATGATCGCATTGCGGAACCAAATTTATCAAATATTTGGAAATCATTCATTTTCAACTTTTTAATAGTCAATTTTTAATGTTCTCGCATTTTTCAGTGCATGCTTATCTAAATTAAAAAAAAAATTATAATAATAGTTGGCATAATATCTGCAGATTTGTATCAACTTAGTCTTCGTTATGCCTATCCTACTTATTATCAATGCACCAGACACCGAAATGCATACAGAGTTTAATAAATATTTATAAGCGGTGTTTTTACTCAATTATAAAGGTACACTTTACTTTAAAATATTAACAAAGCTAACATAATAACATTTCATATTAAACTAAAGCCGAATTCTCATGTTAATAAATATAAGTTATAATTTGTTCCAGTTAACGGTAAACCTAACAGAATCTATTATTAAATTAATCTCTAATTCTGAGTAACTGACCTTATTAGGGAATTCCACAATGATTAAGTGTATTTACAATCACTTAAAGGAATTAACTGTAATAAGTGATAAAGATTAACGCTTATGAAATTATTTCTCGAGCTATACTGTTTACTTATAACCGATTTCGGATAATAAATCCGATACTTTCGAGCCATTAGCGCGATAATATCGCGTAACTTTATATTGTTCCTCAATGCCATGAAAAGGATAGTACGGCCAGTCCTATAAGCTCAGTCGCTCGTTTAAATTTAGTATTTCAGCTTTAAGCTCCAATTAAATCCTACGAGGTTACATGAGAAAGGCTACCAATTATCTGAGCTTTACCCAGGACGATTCTTTGTCCTATTTTCTACCAGGAACAGACTTCGCTTAATGAGAACACGGTAAATTTATGTGACGCCCCCCCTTTTCTAGTCCGTGTAGCCTTGGCTGTCGATGTCGATAGGACTGGAGGGTTGGGAAAAGGGAAAATCAAGAGATTCAATGGGACCTTTCGACATCGGAACGAAATGTAGAAGGCTTTTAAAACTGGAGCGGAATTTTAACCGTCTTCCCTTGTCGACGAGAGTTTCCTTTGAATTCCAGCGAGAAGAGCAGAATGTTCTAGATTGCTTAGGTCATTTGTAGAGGGAGGGAATAAAACCTTTCAATCTGATTCGTCTCTTTTGAGGTTATTAAAGATCTTAATTTCTTTGATGATACTAAAAGGTTGGACTTTGGTTGGTGGAGAATTCGAACATTTTGGGCTGAAAGAGGTTTATTTTATTGAGGAATTACAGGCATTTTATCTGAGAGAAATTGAGGTATTGATAAACATTGAGAATTACAAATTATATTTGCTTGTTCCTTAATGAATAAAAATAAGCAATTACAGTTACAAAGTTTATATTCGTGCATGCATTCTAAATAAATTATATGTTCTTTAACTGATAATTTTTCATTTGATTTTTTTAAAATTCTTCCTTTTTTAATGGGATTGTTATCTAATTTCTAAAATATTTTAATTCAGCTTACATAACAGCTGATCCACAATGGCTCAGTAGTTAAGGCACAGAACTGCCATTGTGGGGAACAGGGGTTCGATCCCTAATGGCCCAGCTGACTTCAAATCCATGGGTACCAGCTTGTCTAGGAAATAAAGATGGCCTTGGTACAGTACTGCCCCCATTTCCCCAATCATACAGTTAGGCACAAAACTGGGGAATCTTAATCTCGAATACCACCTGGCCCACAATGGGCTGCAGAAGGAATGTTTTACTTTTTACATAAAAGCTAAAAAACAACAATAAATAATCACATATCATAGCAACAATTGTAATTATAAGGATATGCTAGATATAAAAAGCAGAGATGCGTAGCAAAAAATTTATGTGCCTTAAATTTTGCGCATAATATATATATATATATATATATATATATATATATATATATATATATATATATATATATATATATATATATATATATATATATATATATATATATATATATATATATATATATATATATATATATATATATATATATATATATATATATATATATATATATATATATATATATATATATATATATATATANTATATATATATCAAATGTAACCTAATTAATACAATACTTTTATGGAGATCGCATTTTTTTAATCTTTTAAAGAATACACATAAAATAGTAAAATTAATTTTGAATTTAGGAATGATTATACAGATTGCACTACTCCTAAAATATATTATGCTGCAAAACAAAGTCATGTGTTTTGAAATGCACATAGTTTTTCCGATTGTATAATATACATTTCAGCCCATTGGTAATAAAATAAGTCTTATAAATGCATCTGAAAAATATTCAGTTAGAAATAAATCAAAAACTTACAATTTTTTCCAGCTGCTAAATTAGTGCGACATAGGAAATCTGATATTTGTTGTTGAAAAGTTTATTATTTCTAAAATAATTCTTAAATGGCTTAAGATATTCGTTAAAAAATTAGAGCAGGGTATATATGACTTTTTTTGAAAAAGTCATATTAATTTCCAAGGCTGTTTTTAAACGTATAATTGAAAAAATTTAATGTTTTATAAATAAATATTAAATTATACGCTTTCCTATTCGCTCGTGTCAAGTAATTTATTTGAAGAGAAAAATTTCATGATATCACTTATTTATTAACTTTTTTTTAATAAATGATAAGTATACTCACTAAAATATTTCAAACTTTTATTTACATAACACAATGTACATCGAATAGTATCTTATACGGCTATATACACTTTTTTAAAATAATGAATAATTTAATATACATCATTCTGCAACATCCAGTGAGAGTTTTGTTATCACAATATTTTAGTGAAACATTTAACATCCATTTCAGTTCTTGTTTAAGAAAAAACAATCAGTATATTAGCTTATGTAGTACATAACAGCGATGGTGATGCATAAAGAATTTACACTGAATTAAATTTAAAAATTGTTTAAATTGTTTTTTTTCTCTCCTTGTGTATAAAGTAGATCTTATTTAATCACATAATATCCAACTCAATGCATAATTCGTCATAAAGTTAATATAATATCGATGGTTGAATATTATAATGTGTGTATTTCATTTAGAGTTAATTATTACAGTTAGGGTAATTATTACTGTAAAAATTATGTTTTATCAGATTTTCTGTACCGTAAATGCAAAAACAGATTTTAAAATAAAAGGAACCGAAAGAACAGTAATTTGCTCCGGAATGTTTTACAGTGTATACCACTGTGCTCTTAAATTAAAAACACAAATAAGAAGAAACATGTAGAGATATATGTTAATTAAAATATTGAAAAAAACATTTTTTTTTCCGAATCAGCTAAAAGTTTACTAACACTTTTTCCAATTTTTAATCATTGTACGTGTACATAAAATGTATGAATGTTTTCAAAACGTAAATTACTGTTTACATTTTCCAAATCACACCTTAACAATAATATATTTGACTTTGGTTACATTCAATTGTCTTTTTCAAATCTTATTTTAGAATTAGTAATGTTTTACTTATGGTTTCCCAACTCTTTCCATATGATTCTTTGAAAATTATAAGTTCGTATTCTACCTGTATATCCGTCTTGTGGGGCAACAAGCAAACAGCATATGCTCTTGGCCTTGTGACATCAGAGTAGCATGTGCAGGACACCAAATACAAATAAGTGAAATGTGATAGCGATTTATAAAAAATTTTCACGCCATCATCCAAAAGGATCCACCAGGCTTCTTTGAATTCCAGAAAAAATCTTGTAGCATAAAAATGTGAATGTCAGACAGCAATATAAAGTTAAATTAGTTAACAGTTTGCTGGTTGTTGAAGAACTCTGAACTATAAAAACAAAAACATTTTTTTTAAATCTTTATAAATGAAACATTTATGCTTTAATTCTGAAACATAGTGGATATATTAATGAAATTTTGCCTTGTGATTAAGTTATACAATATTAGAAACTTCAAGGCGTATTAAATAATAATTTGTTTCATATTCATTGCAAATTTAATATTGTGCAAAGTGGAGCAATATTATCATACTACATAAACTTTTTTACACTATATTATGTTGTTTAAATTCGGAGGAAAAAATGATTCGGTTTACACCTTTAAGTTGCAGAAAATCTGCACTGTATAGTGGTTCAAAGACTACGACTATTTTAATAGCGAGATGTATGATAAAGTCCGTTGGTGCTTTATATTTGTATCATCTTGCAAATAAAACTGTGGATATTTTTTTTTCTTATTCTGTTGAAAAGTTGACATTGCTTGAAATGAAATTAGTTTAGGTCTACATTGCAAGCAGTGCTTCTAGATAATCGATTGATAGGCTAACTCGTCTAATGAATATTAAATGAATTTTATGTTGGGCTATTGAAAATTGTTTTTTTCTCATAAACTTTAGCACGCTTTTTATAAAACAAAAAAGCTTTATAATATAAAATATAATTTATTTTATGAAGATCTTATTTATTACTCTTGCGTGCTGAAACATTCTTTTTCTACATTACATTTTTTAATTTATACATTCATAAGTACAGTACGTTGTATATAGTAGACAGAGAAAAAGTAGGCAAAACTGTTGTACTGTATGATAATGACATTTTTTGAAAAACAAAAGCCTTTATTTTGGTTAATTATGGTATTTAAATCATTTTGTAATTTTTCGTTAATGGTTTATCAAAATTTTTTTAGCGTATTTCAAAATCATATTTTTTTGTTAATTTTATTAAAGTAATTGCCAAAGCACTTCAGTATAAATTCCTGCACTTTTTGGTGTCCTAATAAGACCAGAAACATAGTAAATTTTACCATATTCTGGTATTTTTGACCATACTTTTTTCCTCTGTGTAGTACAAGTCATTCTTAGAATCTTTTTGAGGGCCATCTTTAACTATTTATATTTTGCTTTGTGTTTTATTTCTATTTTGAAATATTATTGCAACTTTTTACGTTAATTTTGTTTTCCTAGTTCATTTAAAAACTGCAATCAGTTAACATTTTTTAGAGATTATACGCAAATAAAATTTCAAATTAAAGTCCCAAAATATAAAATATATATTTTTATTAAATTTACAAATTTTGAATAACAAGGGTTTGGCATTCACATTCAATTAAACTTATGAGCTACACGTTTTCATATATAAGGAAATGATTGCTTAAAATTTACAAAACAATTTTAAGAAAATAAAACAAGTAGAAAGTACGATTAATACAGGATATTTATTGAATCACGTTTAAAACATAACATTTTTGGTCATAATTCAATTCAAACTAATAAGTACACCTGGGAAATTAAGACATAAATTAGTTCATTACAATTCATTTAAGCGTAAATAATATTAAAAGTGGTTTTATTTGTAGTATATGAGGTTATTTTATCATAAGAATAAAGTAAATATTCCAAATTAGGAACAGCCTATCTCAGCTTTAATTAAAATTGCAAAATTTCCCTTGAGATTTCGAAATGATTTATTTTTGTTATTAGTTTTCCTTGGAATTATTCTTTAATTTCAAATTTGCATGTTCTGCTAAAATTTGCCAAACGTTCTAATTGAAATTTCCTTATTAATAAGATTATGTTTGAATTCGGAATGGGGATCAATAACTCCAGTTGCCCTATTTAGTTTGGTTGAGAGGCTTGAGCAGTGAAGGAGAGTTAAGTATTTTTTTTCTTTATATTTTAATCAGGGAACAGGGACTGAGATATTTTTGAGGCTTCAGCTCCACTCCCAAATAATATTTTAAAGCTTCTGCTCCGACAATTTTACTATACATTTACGCGTGTTTTTGAGTTTCAGGTTTTATTTTGAAATTTTTAATATAAAAAGGATCGTTAGAAAAATACAAACAGAATTAGAAACTCCTACACAAAATACAAATTTAATTCAAATTAAATATTTGTTCATTCTTAAAGGAAATCTAAGCAATCCTCCTTTATATTCGATCTTGAATCATTATGCATATATTTTAATCGCGAAAGAAGTATTTTGCATTAATTTGGCTGAAAGGCAAAGCCGTTATAATACGGTAGCAGCGGCAGTTTCAGCTTCGACTAAAACTCCGGAGTGCTCCGGCTCCGAGCTCCGGCTCCGAGCTCCTGCTCTGGATCCAGACTCTTGATTCTCATTTATCAAAAACTAAATTCTCAATTTCTTTAACATCCCGACGAAAAATATTTTGTCCTTAATCACCCTGATTGTTTTCCTGATATTCTTGATTCTTGTGAGTGTCCAGAAAAGCCCATTTTCTAAAAATATCAAGTAGTTTTTACTAAAAATTAGATTTTGAAAAATTAAAAGATTTGGATTTTTGATGCAATATTTTTTTATTTTAATTAATAATGTCATTAGAGGTCACAAAATTTGATAGTTGCAATTTAAACCCCGTCTAGATGGTTCAAACATTAAGCCTTACCCATCGGAATTATTGCTGCAACCACACTTAAAGCGGTATCAAACCAACACCTCCTAGAAAAGAGAAGACCTCATCACGGTATCAATTTAGTTGTCCATCGTAACGAATATAAACTGAGCAGGGAAGAAAAAATAAAAAAGATGTCCTTTCGCCCTGGCTATGCTGCACAGTGGGCGAAAATACGTTCGATGTCATTATGTTAGGACTTCTAAAGTATCAAATTTCTTATACATGGTAACCCGTGCTAAGGCCTTCTCTCTTCAAGGAGGTATTGGTCAAATTCAGTTTACAGTTCTATATTTTCAAATTTAGCGTGATGATGATTTCTTGGGGGAGAGGCTTACTTGCTATTTTCTGCAAATGCAGTAAAAAGTCTCGCTAGATGGAATTTTGAAGTTTCACAATTATAGATTCGTCTTTCTCATGTAAGTTTGAAAATCATAGATTCCAATCAACAATAAGCAAATCATATCATAGAATTTTTAAATGATGAATTGTGGGATCACACACTAAAAATTTTTTTGTGCAAGAATGTTGTGCGGAATATTCACTGTGTTTTCCTCTCGAGGTTATTGAAAACCTACTTGAAAATAATGTGATTAAGGAAATCTTGAACTCTATTGCAAATTCCAATTATATTTCGTTTTAATGAAACCTAACTGATTGGTATTCATTTTTTAATGCAACAGTATTATAACATTTTTAGCGTATTGATTTTACTCTATAATGAATTGTTTGGTATCGGTAAATATTTCCTGAAGCTGAAATTAAAAATGTTATAGATAATTTCTTGCTGTAAAATTTGCTTTTAAGGCTCGTCAATGAAGCAAAGTATACATATTTGTTAGCTTTTTGTACTTTTAAAATAGAGGAATAATAAAAAATTGAAAAATGTTATCCTGATTTTTTCTCCAGTCCAATATGCAGTTTAGAAGCTATTCGAAATAAAATTATGCTCCTACTTATCTTTTTAAAAAGATTATTTTTATACGTTATGGGCTTATAGTATTTTTTAAAACGAATGATTTAGCCGGAGATAGTTGATAAATAGTGTTCATCTACATGGACTGAAGAAATCTGGTAAATTTACCGTTCTGCATGGTTAGGACATTTCTGGTAAAAAAACAGTTATGATTCTGGTCAATAAAAGCAAAATGATATTTAAACTCGTCATTTGGTAATTTTCCTATTCATTAAATAGTTAATCAGAAATTCAGTATTTTGACACTATATTTCACATTTAGTAATTAATCTAAAACTGAAAAATAAAGTTAAGAGAATAGCAGGTTTTTATGCAATGTTCTAAGGCATGATGTTAAAATTGTCAAATTTCAGAATTTTTTAAATTTATCACATATTATAAAACAATATTTTATAGTAATTACAATAAAACAATCACTTCGAGTATGATAAAATTAATTATATAATAATTATCAGAGTAATAAATATTATCATGTTTTATTTTTTTCCGCTTGGCTAAGAATCTTTAAATAAGCATTAAATATTTTAGGAACGTGGAAATTAGATGCAAAACTTTCTAGCTCAAAAACTATTTACTTCATTAAATTTAAATTTTTAGTTTTGTATTTGCTACTAAATGGGTGGCAAAAACGAACTACAATTTTGAAAACCAGAGTTTATGTTAAATATGAATGAAAAAATTACCAAATGAATAGTTTAAATACCATATAATTTGGTTTTTATTTTCAGAATTATGTTCCTTTTTTTATCAGAAATCTCTTGACAATACAGTTCGGTAATTTTACCAGAATTTTGTTACTCCGAGTAAGATTTAATTTTCTGATATGTTATTACTGACTAACACTTTTTTGCTTAAAAAGAAAAAATAATAATTTTAATTTAATTTTTTGTATTGACTTAAATTAAAATGAAATAAGTACTTGATAAATAGTTTTTGTGCAATATTAATAATTTTTTTAATGACGTAATGCATATTAATATTAAATAAAATAATTAAAAATTAAATTATTGTTCTTAATTATAAAAAAAAATGCTTTACCATGGCTTAAGTTTTCTGTTATTTGCAAACCTGATGTTTGCTGTCTTAAGTCGGATCCGAATATAAGTTCTTCATTGCTCATTGTGTAGACTCTTGATATGGTAGCAGTGCATTTTAATTTCATATTTCCTCCGCGAAAATGATATTCACTAACGGAAAATTTCAAACTTAGGCTACTGGTTTCTAAGCTATCAGCGTGAAGTGTTGTGGAATGCTCCATTTCATATTCAGGCTTGGCCTATAAATGAACAAATTAAATCTAAGACAAATTAAAAAAATAATGGAACATTAAGTATTCACTGTAGAAACTGTTTCACAATAATCACCTTTAATGTATCATTTTAATTATTGTAAGATATGAAGTAAATAAACTATATATATCAGGGGTCATAGGCTAATAGTTTAGTACAGAGAAACTTGTATAAGTTGATCACTTGTGTGCATTTCTTTTGATACCAACTTAGACAGATAGTCAACCTATAGGGCTAGGGGAGAAAGTATTTTGTATAATTTCATTCTTGCATTGATCACGATAACGTATATTTTAAGTCTGATTTTGTATATGATAACTCTTATATTTCATCAAAATAAAGGAACACATGCATAAAATTTTAAAGTATTCATTGTAGAAGCTGTTTCGTATTAATCCCCTTTGGTATACATATATATCAATTTAATTCTTGTAAGATATGCAATAAATAAACTATACATATCAAGGGTCACAATTTAATATTTCAGTACAGAGAAACTTGTGTAAGTTGATAACTTACAGTGTATTTCTTTTGTAGTCAACTTATAGGGGGAGAGGAGTAAGTTTTTTACATCATTTCATTCCTGCATACATCACAATAACGTATATTAAGTATTATTTCGTTTACGATAACTATTATATTTCATAAAAATAAAAGAAGAACAAGCATATAATTTTAAAGTATTTACTGTAGAAAGTAAGTACTTTATGGATCACCTTTGGACCACCTTTATATATAAGGTATAAGGACCACCTTTGATGCAGCATTTTAATTCTTGCAAGAAATTAAATAGACAGACTAGAAATATTAAGGCTTATAAAATAATATATTAGTACAGGAAACTCTGTTTCAGTTGACCACTTTTGGTGCATAACTTTAGCGGTAAACTTAGACTGGGGGTCAACTTGCAGAGGGCAGTGAGTAAGTTTTTCATATTACTCCTTTCTTACATACATCACAAATTAAGTGTCTGATAATGCGTGTTGCATACTTTAATAATTTTCTAATATCAGCTCACAATAGTTATACGTTAGCTAAGCTAACTGATTTAAGTAATGATCGAAATTCTAATGCATGGTATAATAACATAAAAAATTTCCTGTATTTTCATTTCTTTTCGGTTAATGACAAATAATACTGCTCTTCGTCAAATTTGACTTATTTCAGCCGTCACTATTCAAGACAGGTGGTCAAGTTACAGTTCCTTCGAATTCTTCAATAAATAGAATCTCTTTCTGGTAAATGAGATGAACTGAAACAGGTATTCAACTTCCGTCAAATTGATGGGTTTCACTGTAGTAAAAAGTGAAAACGTTTTTTAACGGTTCTGCCAGTAAAAAACCGTGTTTAACACGCAGTTTTCACCTCATAGCTAAACTGGTTTTTCCCTGTTATTAGAAAAGAAAAAATTGTATTGGGGAGAAACATTCTTCCAATTTTGGCGCATTGTCTAAACCACCAGTGAGTCAATCAAATGCTGAACTAAAATAATTCATTTGACTACATTCTATACATTCAACTTTAATTAATTCTTTAATCAACTGTTTTTATAGCTTTTAAATCTCCGCCTTCTTTAATTGACCGATCAATCAGTGATTGTTTGAAAATTTTTTTGTCATTTTTGCTTTAAAACTTATTTTGCGATCTCCAATATCCATATAATTTTTTTTTTCTTCTAAAAAAGGTTACGGAAACAACAAAAAGGAAACCAATATGGATCATCATGTAAGTAACAAATTTATTGTCAGTTGATAAACAACTTGAAAAAAAAACAAATAAGCTTAAACATAATTAATATACACATTTATTACATTTTAAGTTATAAGGCAAATTGGCACGGTGAAAGGACTGTTAGAAATTACAAGTTTACTCAGAATTTTTTATGAATATGAATAAAATTATTTTTAAATATTCACATCTGATTAATATATTTTTATGAAATGTCTTAGTATCATTTTACATTAGGATATTTCATTTTCGCGTAAGAACAGATATTTACAAAATAATTTTGGAGAATCAGCTGATTCCATACGTCATGTGGAGGGCGAAACGAACGAATTTACAAGTACAAAAGGGCAACTATATACTTTTTTGAAATGTCTTAGTATCATTTTACATTAAGATATTTCGTTTTCGCTCAAGGGTATACATTTACAAAATAATTTTGGAGAATATGCTGATTCCATACGTCATGTGGAGGGCGAAACGAACGAATTTACAAGTACAAAAGGGCAACTATATACTTTTTTAAAATGTCTTAGTATCATTTTACATTAAGATATTTCGTTTTCGCGCAAGGACGTTCGTTTTACAAAATAATTTTGGAGAATATGCTGATTCCATATGTCATGTGGAGGGCGAAACGAACGAATTTACAAGTACAAAAGGGCAACTATAATAATATGTAACAATACATTTTATTATATTTGTATCAGCAACGTGTAATCAAAATATGGCTAAAGTGTGGATATTCTTGCACTTAAGCAGTTTCTATTAGGAGAAATATTCTATCAATTGAAGAAATTGATTATTGTGAGCGGCTTGTGATCCTTGCAGGGGATTTTAATGAGAATTTCTCGTTACCTGAAGCTGAAACATTATTAACCTAAGACAAATTTGGATTGGAAATGATAAATGGTAGGAATGATCCAACAACCAAAGCGGTTACTACCATTGAAGCAGTTTTTGCAAGAAATATTGAAAAAATTGAACTCAAGCATTTCGTATCTTACTTTAGTTATCATAATCTCATTGTAAATGTTATAGATTTGGATATTTCTCCATTCGAAAATGATAATTAAAAGATGTGATCAATTGTGAATTGTAAGCATTGTTAGTAAAGTTTGTCTTAAAGGAACAATATGATTTCACTAAAAATCAATTTCCACCCCTTCCTATTTTCATTTCCACATTACGAGGTTTCACTTCTTCCGCGAGGAGAGACTCCACGCACTATTTTTTTTTCCCAGCGCAGGAAGTAAAACAGATTTTATATATTGCCTCTATGATACATATTTTTCACCTTTATAAGATAAACATCACTTACTATTTTATAATAAATCAGCATTATTATTTTTTTTTTGCTTTAATTATATATTTTGTTGCAGGAATTTATAACAAAATTTATATTTTGTTTTTCAATTTAATTGCGGTATAGCAAAAAGAAATGTTGAATTAAGCTCGTTTAAATGAAATATTTTTTTAATCATTTCTCCTTCCCACCATTAGCGATGAACAATTGTTAAAAGCTTAAGAACTTTGTACTTAAAAACTTCGAAATCTTATATTTAAACTTATGAAAATTGAATAAAATGAAATGCAATATACCATAGAAGTAATTGGAATGCCCAGACAAGGACATTATTATTTATACAACAGTTTATTTTGATGGAAATAGAATACTTATATATTTCTTTTATTATAAGACAGATAAAGAATGTCAGATAATAATTTATTCTAAAGGGAAATAATTCAGTTTTTTTCAGTTTTTTAATATTTTTATCTTTATTTAATGCTCTTTAACTATAAATGCATATTTATAAATCAAATAAAATAAGCAAATTGTTCAGTTATTAAAATAACCAGGAAAACTAAGCAATATTTCTTATTTTAGTTACGAACTCATTATAGCAAAACTGAGTTTTAAGTTTTCTGTTGATTTTTAGCAGACATATTAGAATGTTTAAGCAACAAAATTTTCTTTAATAAAGGGCTAGACAGGGTTTTTTGAATTACTTTGTTTATTTTGAAATTTTGCGAGAAACAGATGACGTTTTCTTGTATATAGAGTTAACTAAATGGTAATTATTCCTTAATGACGTAAAAGTAATAATATAATGTATACGTAAATTTTAGATATACTATGAGTGTGTGAAACTTTTTCATTTTATTTTAAAATAAAATTGCTCTTGTAATTTTTAACTGCTTAAGCTGAAAGAAATAGTAAATGATTTTTATTCAACATTAATTTTTTATTGTAATTTTTATAAGTACCCTGTCCCATTAAATGTATCTTTTGAACTTTAATGTGGAAGGAAATTTTTTGAGAATTATAATTTATGTTTCAAAGAGTTTTTAAAAATCTTTTATAGACAAGGTGTTCTGTAATCTATGTTATTAATATATATTCTACTATCCTAAAATATTAGGTTAATACACATTAAGAATTGTTAATTGATATTTAATTGACTGAAACACAGTAGCTGTGACGAAAGCTTGTTAATCATAATTGAGGAAAGCGGTGCTAAACTAACAGACATATGGAAATTTCCCGATGAATTTTTTTCTAATTATATATGCTAAATTTCACTCTGCTTTCCATGGAAATCAGACAGTCTTCCATATTTTAAATCCTGCTTTAATTAGTTGCTATATATTTCATTAACGTTGTTACTTAATAAATAAGAATTTTGTTTTCTTTCTCATTTAAAAATGATCTGTGATCCGTAATATTTAAAAATATATGCGAGGATTTCAAAACAAAAATACAATTTGATGCTAGAAACACCTTGCAGGCAATTTTGATCTTTTCTTTTTCATCCATTTTTAATGTTTTTGAGATACATGTGAGGTTAAAATTTCTTATTTTTTGACTTTTTTCAAAAATGTCTCGAAATATACTGTATCAAAATTCAAAGTTTGTATGGTGAATAGTAAAATTATGAAAAACAGCCAATAAAGAGTCTTTCCCACCTCATATCAAACATTCATTTCTGAAATTTCATGCGTCCATTTTTAAATTTGTAAAACTTAGAAAAAAATGTCGCAATAGCTTACATTAATTATTTTTTCTTAATTTCCAATTAGCTGCACAGTCGGTCTTGCCGATGATTACGATATTAAAATAAAGCAGACCTAGTGCGTTCTCCAGTGGTGGTATCCACTCTTTCAGGACCACCACAATGGGTGAGATACCGTTGGTCATGTTAATTTGGACGTCTAGTTTCTGCCACACTAGATGGCAGCACCGAGACTCTATTTGGATGCT